TCTCTGAGAATCATCCTGTAGTAGAATCATCCTGTAGTTAACAAAAATAAACTGCTTGCTGCAGCAGTGGGATTGACTGCTACAGGGACTCCTCAATAGCTCTTATCCAATATGCCACCACGTTGTGTTAGCTATATGGCTGTGACAGAGAAGCATGCCCCATACTAGACTCATTTCAGTTTGATAACAGGTTGAGGATTTTGGAGATCCCTGTACTTTTGAACTGACTTTGAATGGTCTTTCTCTATTATAAATGTATATTCATACACAATTTCATTCAAATCTGTCCATTAGTTTTTAGAAATTCGACATAATGTGCAAATTCTTTTAGTTTTGCACATGGGTATATTTTCTTTAGACATTTATTTGCAACAATAGAGTTTATCAAAATAATGGAGAATTTTATGAAAATAACTTCAGCCATTCATGGCGAAACACCAGTTGCTCATCTGAGCACCAGTTTTGTAAATACAGCATCTTATGTTTTAGAGTCCCTTTGAGCAAAAATTATAGTAAGTAAAATCTTCATTATGGCTTCAGAAATTAAACAAAAAGATGCATGCACTTATGTATATAATTTAAGTATAAGCACATAAATTCACCTAACTTATACTTCTCAGCAGACATGAATGAAAAAAATCAAAATTTTTGCTGAAACTGATGGGAAAACTTTAAATAAATAAATAAAATAAAGTTGCTTAACATTTCCTTCAATCTGATATAGTATTTTGTTATCTCTACATAATTTGCTTGTTGCTGTCATCAAATCCTCAAACATATGCTCAAAAAATATGCGAGAGAGAGAGAGAAATCTGAGACTAAATATAGAATATTATTTGAAGGTATGGGTTTGTGAAGATTACCCTCAAATAATTATTCTTGAGGAGCACAAAGAAATTGATAATTTATTGCAAAAGTAACCGATGTAAATAATTTAAAGAGAATGTAGAGGTAAACACACAAGAAATATCAGAGATTACTGATATTATTCATGGAGTAAACTCTAAAATTCAATTCATTCAGCTAACTCTTTAAACTAAACTTTGAGATAACTCAACTGTATTTTTTGTACCTTCTCGAAAAATCGCTTTTATGGCTTTGAAAAAGTGTTTTCCAGAAAGTCACCAAGGACCATTAGAACAGTATCTGCCTAGTTGAACTATTTTCATAATTTAAACAATGTGGAATTTCTAATCACAAAATCTACAATTCTAAACAAAAATAAACACTTACAAAAACAGTACACAGTCACAAATTCAATTATATAAAAATACACTTTAAAATTAGTACTAGCGATACATAATTTTCATACTTACAAAATAGTTGCAATAAATTCAAAATTTACCAGTATTAACAATTAAATGGAAAATATTTTTTAATGAAAATTGGTGAAAATAATTAAAGATAATTTATTTGATTTGTGCGATACCTCACAGTCTAGCAACTTTCTGCTTGCTGTTTGGAATATCTCCTCCCTCTACATATGTTTATTGCCCATATCCCTCCTCCATGCACGTTACTAACTCTACCTGATCCATTCATGTCACAAACTGTAGTGTGTTTTCTTTTGTTTTGTTTTTAAAATTCATAGGTGAATTTAGTGACCATAAATTTTTATCACTATAAAATGAAAATAGTTGAGGAAATAAAGAAGTCTGTACAGGAGGGTTTGGATTTAAACAACACACTTAAATAACAAACATGACAATACTTAAAGACAACTATTGTGTTTAAACATTGTAATGTTCACTTATAAGATCAGGGGGGAAAATAATGAAACATGACCAGAGCTAATCATTTAAAGAAGAAAAATACATCCACACCAATCCCATATGAGATTACGCAGCAGACCACAACTGTCGATAGTTTTGAAATTAAATATGCTAAAATTGTGGCATTTATGCTTAAGTTTTACAGTACAAAGTCCAAAATCCAGACCTCCGAATCACTAACAACTTTTTTTAATTAAAAATTTTTTAATAATTTTTTGTATGCTTTACCTTATGAATTAGATATTGCTTCATAATAATAAAATATGTGGAGATTCTATATTCTTGATTTTACTTCGACACTAAAAAAATACTTCTATATTGAAAAACATTCATTTATTGGCAAAAATCTATATAATTTATAATTTAGTGCTGTAGCTGTCTTTTTGCTTGGCATACATCTCAAACCAAAACAACATTGATTTTGCACCTACTGAATAATTTATATCAAATGATGCAGGAATAAAGCAGCTTCCAAACATTTTTGCTGAATAGAATCCTGTCCCACTTAATAATCCAATATTAGTGTTGGGTGCAAAACCCACATAATTTGAACAATTCTTGAGAGTAAATGACATATTAAAGAGCATACTTTTCAAAATTATCTGTAATAATTTACAAGTCAAACAACAAAAAACAACGTTATATTTTCAAATTTTCACAGGACTAGTTTCGACAGTTTTACTGAACCATCAATTTCTTGTAAGAAGGTTGATATAAAATTTATTTTTGATATATTTTTACTGAAAGATGAGATATGATCAAAACTGTCAAACTATTAAACATAGTTTCATATTTCCTTAGTTTGAAACTACATGCTACATATACAATATAGGTATAATGTATATAAGAATTTTGTTTTTATGGAAAAAAGCAAAAAATCAATCTAGATACAGTCAAGTTTCAACAAGCCAAAACTGAAGGAACACACCTTTCAAAAAACAAATATTGAAAAATCACTTCTGACTCAGTATCAATTTCTTATAGTATGTTCCAATATTCACATTAATTTATTTCAAATTTCTAATTTCGACAATCATTCCATCAAAAATTTTGATTAACTGATGTTCAAGTAATTGAATTTTATTATATATTCACAGCATGGCAATAAAGTAATCACAGTAAAAAAACAGAAACATTGCAGAGTTGCAGATGGGAAGAAACGTGGCAGACAGGAAGTTGCCTCAATGCAACTACTTAATACAAAGTGACAGGTAATTAAAGAAGACTTATAGAAGTCTGTTTTCAACACAGCTTTAAGGGTAGAATGTCGCATTCCTTCTATCTCTTTCATGTCAGGAAATACTTTTCTTTGAAACTGAATTTTGTGAAGTGAAAATAATGATAGGGAGAGAAATCTAGAGAACATACTGAATGACTAAGTACACATATTTATTTTCAGAATAGAATGCTTCTACAAAGCAGTTATTGACAAGTGGGTTTGATGTAGTTGATTATGGCAAAGCACATTAGGGCCATTTACCTAAGGGGAGCAATGCCTTCTTGGACCTTTTTAAGGCAAACCAGCTTGTATGCATGTTACACATGGAAACAACTAAAAAAATGACCATGCAGCCAGCCCGTTTGAATGGATTTGAAACCAGGGTGGAACTACCAGTGTTGGCGATTTTACCACTTGGGCATTAATGAGCTATATTGGCAGATGGGAAGATGGATTATCTTGCAATACGAAGTTTCTGAATGCCGTCTAAATCTGTTTATCTTCTCATGGTGAATAATGCAGGAAGATAATCATCCCGTCTTTAGTCTAGATTCAAAAAACACCAAGTGAATATAAGAATAGCAAATGTAACAATGTTCATTTGCACTACAGCTTGGTACTTTAGAAACTATTTGTGTTGACAAAGCTTCGCTGTTTGTGCTAAGAATATAATAATAGTTTCAATAGGGTTGCTATTACAACTGGAAACAAGCTAAAATCCTGCAGATTCTACAAGACAGCAAGTTATTACTATATCATGAACAACTCATACAGAAGAAAATTTAAATATTTTTATTTTACTCTTAGTTTGAACATAAATGCACAACTTATTTTGAAACAAGATGAAATTTCCACAAACTGTGAATATCTTAAATTTATAGAACATGTAATTAAGTTTGAATATTGATAACATAATCTAAGACTACACATTAAATAAAGCCGGCTCATTTATTTTACTGGTGCATATTTAAAGCAATGAACAGCAAGCATACTAAAGTGAGAATATAATTTTTAAATAGAGCAGAATAAAATTACTAACAGCAAAACAAGATTTCCAGAATCAAATCAAGTCAAACAAATCATGGAGAATGGGCTAACTACATAGAAGACTTCATGGATTTTTCCATCAGGAATGTAAATACCAGCAGTTTTTTCTTAAAAGCTTCTACAAAAGCATCCATCCCCATAAGCAGATGGTCATTGCATTCTTTGCCGTAATCCAATCCAATTCTTGGAGATTTAATAGTGAGTTGGAATGCCTTATTTCAAAGCAAATAACACCTTTTTAATATTATTGCAATTTATCTCATGACAGCAAAGGCTCAAAAAACAGTAATTTGTATTTCGTACTCTTTTGGAACAAATACAAAGATTTTCATTTTTGAGTTTTTATTGATGCTTGGAAATTGCAATCTTTGTAATATGAAAATTATATATACACTAACTATTGCCTAAAATGTAACAGACAAATAAATATAAACAATACATAACATAAAAATGTGCAAAACAATTATACAACTATCAAATATTTACAGAACTTTACACATACAAAAACACATATGTGGATACTATTCCGTTTTGAGGACCGTAAAAAATTGCAGCGAAAATGTATGTGCGAAAGTGCCAAATCTAGTAAACATGCCAATTTAACACCACGCCAAATCTAGCATACACGTTGTTTTCAAATTGAGTAAGTTTAGATAGTTCTACATTTTGAAAGACGCCACTGAAATATTAGTTTAATTTTTAAATCCTTTTTTGATATCCTATGGATTTAATAATTTGGGAATTGCCCGTGACGAAAAGTGTCCTACAGAATTTTTTCAGAGAAAATTAAATTTTCATATAAATTAAAACAATGATCTTTAGATAGTTATTTACTATTACACTTCCTTTCTTGCGTTAGGGTTGCCGCAATTATTTTTGGCAGCACTGGCATCAACAATAGTTTGGCGATTTTTTAAGGTCCTCAAAACGGAATAGTACCCATATGTGTATATATATATTACCTTCAGGCACTTTTTTCACAATTAAAGGCACTTTTTGGTACTTCAAGAAATAATACGACTCAAAATCCTGCAAAACAGATTCCAAATGAATATTATCACAGACCGTATAATCTTGGATAGGAAAATTTATTTCACATCTCAAGGCATCTGCAGCTTGAGTAAACCTAATAAACATAGTGAAATTTAAATTACATATCTATGAATATTATGATATTTTATTATTACTAATCAGACTCAATTCTTAAAGTTTTTTAAAGTTCTACTACATGCAATCAGTGTAAATGTGTATCTATATTTGTTTTTCAAGAAGAAGCATAAAGCATAACTATATACATATATATATATATAATAGGAAGAAATATTGTAGAGAGCTCGCTAAAAAGGTTACCAGGAGCTGTGGCTCCAAGAAATAGTTCAATGCAGTATTTTTTTTTTTTAAAAATATTAACATGGAAGTAATTTTTAAAAATATTAACATGAAAAAAACAGCCTACAAGCGATATAAAATACAGAACATAAAACTGTTAAAATCAATTGTTGGAAACATGTGAATGCACAAAAAAAAAGAGCAAAACCTATCGATGTGGTATGTGAAAAGTTAACACAAATAAAAAAAAACTGATCGACGGAACAAGTTTAACTTTTCACATATCACATCGATAGGTTTTGCTCTTTTTCTTTGTGCATTCACATGTTTCCAACAATTGATTTTAACAGTTTTATGTTCTGTATTTTATATCACATGTAGGCTGTTTTTTCCATGTTAATATTTTTAAAAATTACTTCCATGTTAATATTTTTAAAAAAATACTGCATTGAACTATTTCTTGGAGCCACAGTTCCTGGTAACTTTTTAGTGAGCTCTCTACAATATTTCTTCCTATTATTTCATATTTTTGCAGCATTTTGCGCAAAATTTTTAAGACCAAATAAGTCTTACCACACTTTACTTATTAGCTTTTCAATTACATATATATATATATATATATATATATATATATATACTGAAAGATAACATTTATAAACATATAAACATGATACATGAAAATTTAGAACTTAAAATTACACAGCAGTGGTGCCCAACCTTTGGCCTCTCATTAGCACATTTTGGCCTATCGCAAACACATTTCCAAAACATCAACATTTTTGTTAAACATATTTCCAATCTTATGTGGTACTTCTGAAATATTAATTTCAGCAAATGGGTTTGAGATGAATAATAATATTGTTTGAACTTTATGGAAATCAGAGAAGCGGAGTTCAAAATTATTTTTCAGTTCATTTAAGTTTCCCGAATATTTCTCTGTTTCAATTGCCTTGTGGTTATTAATATGGCTTGATAAATTCTGAAAATGGGTGAAATTTTTTTCTTTCATCTGATTTAGCCACAAATTTAACTTTATCTGAAAAGCAATTACAATCCCAGTCAATTGAAAAAGGGTTTTTTCTTTTCCCTAGAGATCTTCATTCAGTTTGTTCAGTTTAGCTGTTATATCCGTGAGAAAATACAAATCGGATAACCAATTATTATCGACCAATTCTTTATAACTTTCATTTCCGGATTTCAAAAACTGCTGTACTGGCGAAAGAAGTTTTATAAATTGTTGAAGTACTTTTCCCCTGTTGAGCCATCTAACATCGGAATGAAGCAATAAGATTTCATGTTCGCTATCAAATTCATCAGTCAGCAATCAATTATTTTATAACATCTTCCAAGATAACTTTTATGACAATAAATACTTAGTGTATTTTAACAATTAAGAAATACAAATGAATGGTTATTTTTAAAATATTTTTTGTTCATCCTAATCAGGCTGGCGAGCACCACAAGGTTGGGCACCGCTGTTGTACTGCATCAGATCAGTTCACATTTAGAAAATTATATATTTTAAAACATGGCAAACTTATTTATACTGAGAGTAAAGCTTCAGAAAACAAATTATGGGGGAAGGGGGAAGAAAATTGAATAAGTAAAGGTTTTCTTCCTAAAAAGCTAAACTTACCATATTGCTGAAATCAGCAGCAAGAAAACAAATCAAACATCTTTGAACAACATAAAGCTTAAAAAAAAAGAAAAAGGGGATAAAATTATAAAAAGAAGCAAAATTCATATTGCATAGTTAGAAAAAAAATAATAAATAACAGAGCAAAATATTTGTTTTAGAATTAAAAAATATTACCTACAAATCCAATTAAACTTACTGATTTATATTTCAGCTGATGGATTTCCAATGAGACGCATTAAAAAATAAGACTGATACAACTTTGGAAAATGAGATATCTGGACACTGACCAATACCACTTTCAGATGAAATGCTAAAGAATAAATACTACTAAAGCTGATCAATAGTGAAATGTTGATGTTAATGCAAACGAGTTTGGTATAATCACAATACTATTGTTCAGTATCTACATGTCACTGATAAAGTGAAAAGGTTTGGCACATGAGTTCAAAATAATGACAAGGCACACCTTTCAGTACCTTCAGATTATCATGAAAATTATCGCCCCATGAAAGGCCACCAACTCATTTGTCACTTTGTAAAGTAACAAAAATGATTTGTTTGGCTATCATAATGCCGTCAACATATCATTACAGCTCCAATTCTACACTGAAGTGCCACATTTGATGAAAATTGGCTGCAGCAATGACAAGTACAATCAGCAAAGTGAGTAGACCCTGAACAACAATAAAGAAATCAACTCAAATTGATGCTTTGTTCTCCTCACTCACAAAAGATGTCATTGCTTTTATGATAACCTAGTGTTAAAGTGATTCATTACAGTGCTGAGCTGAATGTCACTTTATCTTCAGGCATCCAAGAATAGTCAAAGTGAGCACTTTACTTTGCAGGACAGCACAATCACAAAACACAGCTTCCTCAGGTTATAAAGCTATTAAGATTTTTAAAATCAAGAAACCTGAAAAACTATGTCTTCACTGGGATTTGAACTACAGATATTCTAAGTGCTAACTGGAAGAGTTACGGTTTATTTTGCAAGAGCATGCATTGAAGGATACAATAATTTCCTATAATAATATTTACTTACACATTGTACAAAAGACTCTCAGAGAATAGCAGTATTAAAGGCACAACCACCTGTCATATTCCAGAAACTGATTTTCAACTGATTACCATCTGTTCTCCCATCTAGACTACTTTTTAACCAGGGTTTGTACACATTTCTTGAAATGAAAATAAGGACTGTTAAAGACCTTTAAGGACCATCAATGATAAAATTTAAAAACCTGTCAGTAAATAGAACTGAATAAATTAATGCAATTATCTATGCAACTGCCTTCTTTTGCAATATTACTTTTAGAATAAAACAGAAGTATGTGCTATGCATCATTATTATTAAACATAGTCTAATATTTAACATACAAGAAACAAGTTTGACTATAAAACCCTCTCTCTAAAAGTTTTCAAGTAGTTAACATTAAATTACAAACATAACTTTTTGAAACATTTACATTTCACACTAATATGCAAGTAGGATAAATTAAAGGAACAACAGGGTTCATAGTCACATTTTAGTTAAAAAAATAAGCACCTATAAGCACTTTTCAAGCACATTTTAAGAAACAAAATAAGCACCTGTCTAATTACATTATACACAACTGCATAACCTTAAAAATTAGACTCGTAATTTAAAATATGAGAAATGCAGTATTTATTAAGAGAGAATAAGCATTACCTCAACCATAGAAAATAATTACTTTTTTTTTTTTTAATTTTAAATAACAGTTCAATTTACAGAACTAGTTTACAATGAGAGAAAAAAAAAACTATGCAGAACTAAACTATATTACAAGATTTAATGATGGAATTTCAGTTCAAGATAGAGAAAATAAATAATAATAAGGCATATTTATTCTATTCGCTTGGAACTTAATAATAAATACAATTTATTTTTTCACTCATATTGATATTAAACTAATTTAAATCTAAATTCTGAACATTTTCTAAATTTTCATCGTATATCAGTTTTCCCTTAACAGATATTGCAAGCAAAGTAATTTAAGTAAAAAGAGGAACATTTCTGAAATCAGAAGACAGAAATTTGCTTCATGCAGTCATCCTTTAACAGTAAAAGCTTAACTACCCGCATACTTGAAAACTGGCGAATATTCGGACAGTCGAGCGTAACTTGAAAAAGAGAAGCGGACGGGGGGATAGACTAGCCGTTCTTTAGATTTTTCCATTAAATAAATGCATTTGACAATTCGATATGTGTATCATATAAAAACAAACCAATGAAACATAAAAATATTCTGCTTTGCAAGCACAATAAAACTCTTTTACGTGTTCATAAACAAATCTCGGACCGAACATCAAAATTAATTATCTCTGCAAAATATCGCAAACGTTATTGCGCAATACGTGTGCCGTAATTCTTCCCTACATGATATTACGCAATCGGATTCAACAGCTGCCGGTATTGGGAGAATAAAAAACTAAATAAAGGAAACGAAAGGATTGGATTGGATTATTCAGTTATGGCAAAGCACACGAGGGCTATCTGCCTGAAGGGAGGGATGCCTTCGTGGAGGGCTTTCTAAGGGAAACTGGCTCGTATACACGTTAAACATGGGGAAAACCACGAAAACGCCCATGCAGCCAGCCCGTTCACGGGATTCGAACTACCAGTGTTCAGCGTCTAAAGGAAAAGAAAGAGACTTACCAATCTGGGGTGTTTTTCATTCTAATTTTCAACAGACTGCGTTAAATTTCCGGAATAGAATCATTCTTCGCTTGGGTTGGTAGACTGCAAAACTTTTAGTCCTATTCAATCCAGATTGGAAAGTGACCAAAAAAAAAAAAAAAAAAAAAAAAAAAAAGAGAGAGAGAGAGAGAGAGTCCGTTGCTTGTTTTGCAGCGAACTGTAACAGTTTCAATATTCGAGATTTTGCGGAGAAAGAGCAGAACCTCCCAACCTTCGTACTGTATAATGTATTGGCCAAAAAAATGAAATTATTTTGACTATTCGATTATTTTCCCTTTATTTAAGCCATTCCGACTATTATTCCTTAGAAAGCTAATCTGTGTTAAAACACAACCATTTTTGGAAGTTTACTATACTTCAGCAGTTACTGCAACTATGTTATTATAAACATTCATACATATGCTCATAATATAAGCATAACCATCATAATAAACACAAATATGAACTGACCAAGCAGAACGAGAATGCAAATTATTAAGATCTTAAGATCTTGATAGAAATTCAAACGTGTGTAGTATTTAGGCAGGAGGAAAAGAATGCCAAATATACCGGAATTTTCTACTGCTTTCGCAATTCTTTGACCAACTGAACGACGGACACCTGTCTGTACTCTCTGCGCACACCAAAGGTTATGTTCATGCAGAGAAAGAGGGAAAAGCTATTTCCAGGAGTATGATTCACCATCTGACATTCTTTGTTAGGAAGAAAAGTTGTTTATTTAGTTTCGGCTTTGGTACGGGGAAAAATAGCGCGTTCGTTTTAAAAAAAGCACTAAACGCAAAAAATAAGCACTAAAAACAAAAATAAGGGCATTAAAGAATAAGCACCTATAAGGGCATTTATATTTTATTTTCAAATATAAGGACTTATACGCACTTATAAGGACCGCTACGAACCCTGAACAACTGTAAAAAGGTGCTTGGGCTAATTGAATTAAGTGAAGGCTAATGACGGTTGATTGATAGATAGATCAAGATCAGTGTTAGAAGTCAATCTTCACAACACTGAAATATACAAAAATTTTGTACCCAAACCCATGCAGACATGAAAAGAAATGCAAAGGGTGCTTCATATTCTAAATTTCAAAGACTGTATGAGTAGTAGGGTAGAATTTTCCTATGTAAAAGGTTAAATATATCATTGAGAAGGCATCTAACAGAATGCAAGCAGCAGTGTGCAACTGGGAGAATGGAACAGACACTGACATAGGTTTACATGGATTTAAGAGCAGCCAAAAGTGTCATGTTAAGAATCTGGTAATGGTTTAAGACACTGTTGACATATGCAGACAAATAGGTCAGGACCAAAAAGCACCACAACAGATTAGCCATTTAGGACCATTATTTAGCAATGAATTCTAAAAGAAATAGACAAATGGCAACTTCCTCCTAATGAACGATGATGCTCATCATATTCGGCTAGTACATTACTTTGAGAGCAAAGGAATCTAGCAGATGGACTGCACCAGGAGACTAACTTGCATCACTGCAGCTCCCACTTAGCATTTTCCTGGAACTTCAAGGCATTGTTCACCAAGAATGCATTTTGTTACTGCAGTAACTCATGGCTATCTAATGCACCAGTCATAAAACCAAACACCTTATTATTATTTTTCCCCCTGTTTAGCTTTAAAAAGTTATAACACCACCTTTTCCCTACTTCACTTCATATCACATTTCCTGTTTCCTATGCAAATTTTTATTGAAATTAAGACCAAAATACCTAAAGATTCTAAAGACTATACAAATCCTGTTGCTACAATAATAATAATAATAATAATAATAATAATAATAATAATTGCTGATGACGAAGAGGTATAGCATGCAGTTGATAACTTCTTCATTTCACAGAATCTTACCTTCTTTTGCCATGAAGTCCAGTCACTGCTGGATTCCTTGCCAAAATGTATAACGTCAAAGGAGATTAGCTCTGATTAATATTTTTGATTCCATCCACATAGCATTTGAAAGAGGCATATTTCAATCACACCAATTCAATAATTACAGCTAGTTTTTTTTTATAGCTAGTAAATTTTCTTACTTAGCTAGTTGATAAATTTTACAACTGAAAATAACTCCAAATTCTGTGACAAGAATAACTTCAAATTTTATGACATGAAAAATAGCAAGTTAAAAATATAGCAAAATAAAATTATCATTAAAAATAATGTTAATCATTCACCCGAATTCTTCCAAATAACTGTGAATTAATATAAGAAGTGCTTTCCTTCTAAAAGTTTTCTTCTGTTCTTCCTAAATATAAAAACATACAAAATTAAAGAATAACCCATGTTGAGGAATAAAATATATAATATAAATAATCTTGTAAACACTTTTTTATCACAGAAAATTATCATGTAGTATCATATAATTTTCAAAAGATTAAGATTAAAAAAAAAATCAAGTTGTAAATATATAAAATGTTTAATTTGAAAAAATATAACTGATATAAAACTTTTAGCTTAACATCAAATTTAAAGTTATACATTTTCAAGTGAATCTGAGAATGAAATTATGACTAAGATACCATCTGCAGTATCATTTAAGAAAATAACAGAAGGAATTATATTTGTATCATTAATGATAGAGTTTGTAATTGTCGAACACATATAAGAGATAAAAATATAGCATCATGCTAATTACACTAATCATATTAAATGGAAAAGATTACAAAACAATTAATATACATTAAATTGATATAAAATTTTAATTTAGCTGTTAAATAATAAAACACAACTGCTTGTAATGGTATTAATTTTTTTTTTTTTTTTACTCCTAAAATACTGTAGGGATAAGTTAGGTTATTTCTGTACAGCAAAGCTTATGGGGGCTTTGCATAAAGAAGGGATGCCTTTGTAGAGACCCTTCTAAGAGAAAGTGAATCATATTCATGTTACACAAGGTAGAAACCACCACTGTAACAGATAAAAAAGGTGAATGTTGGTAATTTGACTCAGATATGAAATATAGCAGACATGCTGTCTGCATGGACAGTTTCCTTTGGAAAATCCTCCATCAGTGATAGAAACTGGTTATAATCAATCAAAACCAACAGAAAATGGTAACTATCAGCAGAAATTAAAAAAAATAATAATAAATAAATAAATAAAAATAAAAAATATTTAAAATGTTTTATTAATTAGTAATAATTACTAACCTTTTAAATTAACTTAAATCCATAAAAATAAGATATATTCTAATACTATATTACTTTAATAAAAACATAACTCTAATAAACAAAACAAGTGTAAATGCAGTTAATTTCCAAGACAGAAGAGATACAAGCCAAAATAAAACATAAAATTAACAAAGCAGCAACCTTGTACAGTCAAAAGTCGTTAATTCGGACACCCATAATCCGGAATGATCTATAATCCGGACCTCAAAAGCTAAAATCTTTCCGCGTTGACGCATGCGCATAGGCGTTTTAGGCGTGCGCGCAAGACATTTACGACTGCGCAAGCGCAGAATACGTTTTCGCGTGCGCGTTTAATGTAAAACGAACGGTATAAGCTAAAATTATCTAATTATCTATTTCAGTTAATGTTGATGATTGCGTTGTTCCTTAATCTTCGAATTGGATCCGGCTTATTATTTTTTGCAGACTGTAAGAGCAATTTTATAAAAGTAAGCTTGAACTTTCGATGATGTCAAATAGAATTTAGGATGCTGGAGCTCCCCCGAAAAAAAAACCCCGAATTGCTATAAAAAATGGATAAAGGCATATCCTTTGTTTATCTAACCGTTCCGACATCTGTTTATCAATTTCACGCTGCTCTGCGCAGGGGGGAGAGACTTCGCGGCGCGCTATGAACTGGAAGTTGATCTGTCAGCACTATCGTTATCTTCAGGGCAGATGTTTTTATTTTATTCGGCTTATAATTCCTTATTAAATGTAGTATTTAATCTCGATGTACTCCGTCTTTGATATGATTTAAATCAAATTTCTCGTCATTATAAATATCACGAATACAAATCAAATAGTTTTCTGGTTGCAATTTTCTAATTTCGGCTATGCGTAGGGTATGCTTTACGCATGCGCGCGTTGAAAGAAATGTTTAATAAAGTAAACAAATAAATATTAAGCTTCTTTTTTTGTGAATTTTGATACAAATTTGATAAATGATAATAAAGAGATAACAATTGGTCATTATTTTATAAATTACAGTTTCATATTTTTAATTTTATAATTTCTGCATGCCATCTTACCAGATTTAAACTTATGATCTATAATCCGGAAAAATCGATAATCCGGAATCGTCGAAGTCCCGACGAGTCCGGATTAAAGACTTTTGACTGTATTTGACATAGATTTTAGTTAAGACTCGTCCCTCGTAAACAAGTAAAGTCCCTATTCATCAGCAGACAAGAAAACTGTAATGAAAAGAAAACTATGGTTGTATTTATACCAATCGGAGTAATGCAACCGAGAAGATATCACCACCTGTTGGCAGAAATAGTAAAGAAAATTTAAAAAATTAAAGTAATAGATTTTTAAAAGCATTAGGAAAGACTGGATTGGAATTAAAGTCATTAACCAAACAAGATAAATCTTTATGATTTATGAAAGCAAAAAGCTTCAAGAAAATAAAGTTCACCAATGGAAGCATTTTGGATAATTTTTGCAGCCCAAAGTCAAAACTATGATTAAATTTCCAACTATGATTAACTATTGAAGACTTCTTAATTTCGTCTTTTTGGACATAAAGATTCATGTTCTTTGATGCAAAACTTTGGTGTTCTTTTAGTCCGGCTGATATATGCAAAACCACATTGAGAAGATATGCTATAAATTCTCCAAGAATTAGTGGAATCTTTAAGAATCTTAATTTTATTGGTGGGTGAGAAAATTATTTGAAAACTAAACTTCTGGAGAATACAATCAGTTTTGTAACTTACAAAAGAATAAAATGGAAGCATAATAAGGTTATTAATGATATTTTTATAGCAAAATGCTTTCCCCGATAGCAATATGAAAAAATTTTAAAGGCTTTATCAATGAGCACAGGAGAAAATCCTCCGTGAATTGCAACTGATTTTAAATAATGGAGTTTATTAGCCCTCAAAGGTTCTGAAGAATAAACTTTGAGAGTATGAAAAGTAAACGGTAAACAACAAGGGGACCATTTATTGCTTAGTCAAGTGACATGACTTAGCATAGGGAGGCAAACAGAAAAGGATTTATGGTAAATAATAGTGCTGAAATAAGATTCATTACCGATTATATATAAAAATACCAAGGGAGGGTATTGTCAGATTCAGTTTTAAAAGTGAACTGGATGGCTAGATCAATCGCATTTATGGGGTTAATGTTCTTTACTACCATCAAAAAGTGTGAAAGTGTTGTCTACATAGCGAATCCAGAGACAAAAAAGTAGTTTTTGAAATAACTTGACCTCAAAATAGTGTCTGAAAATGTCAGCAAATATAGGAACGAGAGGATTACCCACAGCTAATCATTCAGTTTGGCAATAATATTCCTTTTAGGAAACGAAGTGGGTATTTCAAAGAGACTTTACTAAGAGAAATTAAGTTTTTTCCATTTTAGTATGTATGAAATGGAATTCTCTTAGTTTCAATGCATTTTAGTGCTCTTTTAACTGGAACATTAGTAAACAGTGTTTTAACATCAAAAGAAACCATAACGGAACACAGGGGAGAAATATCTAAGTTTATTGATGATTTCAAAAGTTTTTTTTTACCATGTGAATATTGTTAGAAACTAAATATTTGGCCAAAGAATATGATAAATCCTGAGCAAGGAAATATAGGTCCAAAAGGAATTCCAATTTTATGGACTTTGGGGAAAGCATAAAACCTAGCACATTTAGCAATAGGTAGAATGACTGATTTTTTAAACTGACTTGGGAGTATGTGTGAAGATTTACATTTGTTTTAATGTTTGTTTGGTCAGAATTTGAAAAATCTTTATGACTTCAAAGTTTCTTCATTATTCTAGATCTACTACATATGCTTCAACATCTATCTGCATCATTCTCAAAACAACATCATCATTTATATGCAAACATAAATTATGGCTAAACGTTTTTAATCTAAAAATATATTTCTCTGTATTATTTCCTATACTACTATTAGTTATTTTGTGAGTTTGTCCATTACTGCCACTTATTACTTTCTGTCATGCTATTTTTAACTAAGTATAACCTGTGGTTTTAACCACTTTGGCAGAAACTTGCTAGCCCTATCCTAGGTAGATTGTCCTCATGTGTTTTGTCATAATTAAATAAACAAGTTAACAAGCCTAGAATATTGTTCTAACATGCAAGTAAAAGACAACTGTTTGTTGTTAACATATATATTTCTAATATATATTTAAAATCAATAAATCTCTTTACATAATTTATTATACTTGAACATAAAAAATCAAATAATAATTATCTTTGGTAATTTCTTGTTAAAGCAGCAACAATGCTTTAATTACATTAGTGACATTTGAAATTTAAACATTATAAATTGGGTGATTAAGTTTGCTGTTTATGACAAGTGTGGTGGTCATTTTATCAAGGATGTGCCTTATTTTATTTATTTAACTTTTCCATTACTAAGGAAACCTAATTAAAAATATATACTATTTGACATTTTCTAAAACTCAGAAGTTTTCTTTCAAACAGTTGTGTTATATGTGAGATTTAAGTAAAAACCTAATATAGTTATTCCATATCAAATACAGTGGATGGACAAAAATATGGAAACACCTTGTGAAATGCATGTTTGAAAAGAAAGATTGATTTTAATGAAATATGTAGGTGGCGCTGGTATTTTTGACTACTGACGCCACCTATACAAATTCGTAAATGTGCTAAACAGTTCAGTTGTTGTTGGAGTACTGTATGTGAGGTTGTCATTGCATTATGTCAGAGTTAACAGACTTCGAACGTGGGCAAATTGTTGGAGCACGTATGGTAGGTGCTTCCGTAAGCAAGGTAGCCAAGGTGTTTAGTGTTTCAAGAGGTACTGTATCGAAGATTTATTCCGCACATTTGAAAAGCGGAAAAACATAATCTGCTAAATCACAGCACGGACGAAAGTGTGTCCTGAATGATCGTGACAGACGATCATTAAGGGCAATTATGACGAAAAATAAGAAGACCACAGCTGCAAAAGTTACTGCTGAAATGAATGTTGTGTTACCAACCCTGTGAGTACCAAAACATTAGAAGGGAGCTTCATAAACAGGGAATTGCTGGCCGTGCTGCAATTGAGAAGCCACTCATCAGTGATGCTAATGCCCG